ATTAATTTATTTATATGTAAAGTAAGAAATGCATTGCTCAATCAATAAATGACATGTAAGGTGAGATGGAATGGTAAGATGAATTAGGTGAGATGAATATCAGTACTCATAATAATAATCAAGTTTGCACTTCCAATTTTAGTATAATTCGAATTAAAAATACAAATTTAAACTATACAATAATTTCGGAATAGAGAAAGTAACTTATTTTTCTATTCATGGATAATTTTGGATATCCCAAACAATAAAACAATATGTAGCTGACTATGGATGAAACGTATAGACGGCTTCATTGTCAGTAGAAATTGAGGATTTTGATAAGAACTCAATAAGTCAAGTTATGAGTTTTACAAATTTCGTGAAATTTAAAGTTTTCGATCTTTGTATCGAGTTAATCAAGCTATACAAACTTAATAAATTTCGTATAAATAAGCATAATGAATATCGCCATTTCTATAACACGATGCAACTATTATTGTTTTCGTGTTACAAATTGACACCCTACCATGAACATAATGAGGGTCCTTGATGGAGCTACCCAACCAGGCAAGCTAGCGCGGGGTGGGGAATTAGCAACCCGCAAGAGATGGGGACATTGGGGGATGGCTGGGAAGATGCCGTACATGAATTTTGGTTGGCGCCTTTGGTAATAGTGATGTTATGGCTGACAAAATGCGCAAGAGTGGGTTGGTACTGAAAACTAACTGATACGATCTCATCTATATATCTACTCAATTCTCTTACAGCAGAGAGAAATTTAAGATCAGAAAAAACACACAAACACACACTAACACAAACTTTCATGGGTCATAACCATCTCTTTCATTTCAACCAAAAAAAAAAAGGTCTTCTGCCATTCTTACCTATGTATTTTCCACAGTTTGTGACAAACGAAGCTGTTATGGCAGCTGCAGCTAACCAACAACAGCTCAGATTGCCAGCCAGAATGAAAAGAAAATCATCATCCCTTCAATTTTTACTTTTTTTTTTTTTCTTGAGTTATAATTTGTGATTCCCAATGTAATGTTTGACTGCACCTGACCCCTCCTCCCTTGCCCTTCAAACTTGCTACTCCCCAAAAGAACTTCTTCTATGGGCAGAGTGCTCACATGGGAGGGTACCTTCCCATTTGTACCCCACCCAACTTATATTTTTGCTTCTGAAAATTTTGAACACTAAAGTACACTACTACTACTACTACATTGTAACATCTCTTCCCTCTCTTTTCAATTGGAACTTGTTGGAAGGGTCTTTCCCACTCACTTTCTCTTTGGGATTGCATTGCCTAATTTTGTTCACAAACCAACAACAAACATGTCTCTCTGTGACAAAAAAATATATAATGGAATTCCACTTGCCAATGTGACATAGCAGCCCAGGCTCATGATTAGGCAAGAGGGGGCTCAAAATTGGTTATTTCTTTATTTGGGAATATATGACAGGTGGTGAAGGTAAATAACATTTGGAATTTTGCCCATCTATTATTATGCATTGGTAATATGTGTCCTCTAATATCTTGCACACAGTCATGGTTGATGGCATTGCAATTTGCTCATTAGTTTAACACAATGGGTGTGATTGATGTTAGTGCTTCACAAGTTTTTCTATTATGGTACTCCAAGGGGATAATTAAGCACAAAAAAAAAAAAAAGAAGAAGATCTCATTTCGTGTTTACAGTCTCGGAAATTAATATATCACTTTTGATCGGACGAATTTAACATCTATACGTGAAGCATAATTTTTGTATCATGCTATCATTTACTTGGAGTACAAAACAAAGACGTTATGTTATTATTCTTACAAAATCTCAATGTTATAACACTTGCAAGTTAGAATGTCCCCATCCTTCTAATTGCGTGCATGTTGATTAACTCTTCCAGAAAATACACATCGTGAAAAAAGACTGTGTAGTAGAAAATGTTGTTTTGATTTTGATTATCCACAAGTGACATAAAAACGGACGTTCTAATCAAAAATGTAAAAGCCCAAGGTGCTTATGGATTGATCTTTGCAGTTGCTGGGCAACTATGAATTTGATCATTGTAGCCCAATTACGTAAGAATGATCACGGTGAAGATTATTTGATGGAAGTGCGTTCAGGTGGTTGGCCTTTTTGTGAGAACATCAGATTGTTTGTGGTCCAAAAACATTTTGGGGATGAAAATAACAGTAATAGTGGATTTATTTGATGAATTGAAATAATGTTCAGGTGGTTGGTCTTTAGGTTATCACTTTTTCAATTTTATTCTATTTATTTTTATTTATCCAAATTAAATCTTACTATACTAAAATGTAAAAATTTACTACATTGTTTACCTTATTTTCTATCACATTTATCATGAACAAACTAAAAAATATCCTAAAATATTTATTTATCCGGTCACTATTACTAAATCAACTATCAATTTTCACTATAATATCTCCAAAAATTTCTAAAATTAATGAAATAATAATACAAAATAAAATATCTCTAAAATAATAAAATAACTTTAATAAACTATATTAAATTAATAAAACATTTTCTGATAAATTATTTTTAAAATTAAAAGCAAACATGCAAAATTAGCTTTTTTCAGGCCACTAGGGTTCTAACAATATGGTAATTTTCAGGCCAATTCTTTCTTTCCAAAACCCATTTTCTCAAACTCCAACATTTTCATTGTCATATTTTTTGCTAGTTATTTTATATATTCACCTTGTAAAAATTAGAACCCTATTTGATTTACATTATGTATTTTTTTGCTTCAATAAAAAAATCAAAACAACAAAGGAATTTTCATTTTTCGAAAGGTGGTTAGTCGGGTAAAAATAAATCATTACAGTAAAAAAACATAAAAGAAGTTTAAACAAATTTTTGTAATGTAAATTTTAGTTAAAAAAGTTATTAATATAATATTATTTATTAAAATTTAGTTTATTATTCTATACTTGTTTCTTTAGTTACATTATTATTTTATTAATTTTTTAATTTTATGAGTAAAATGGTGAAAGATGTGAAATTTAGTTTAGTGTGAGGCCAGGGAAATAGAAAAATCCTATAAAAATATAAAATATAAATATGCAATCCAATCAAATTTTACTTCTAGAAATATAAAATTATTACATTATATACCATATTCTCTCTCATTTTTATCACAAACAAACTAAACATATCTTAAAATATTTTCTCATTTATTTTTCTTCAAATTATATTTTTATAATATTGTATGCCAACGGAGTACATGGTGAAGTGTTAGTTTTGGTTTAGCATAAGGCAGCAGAGTAAAAAAATAATTTGAAGAAAATAATAAATTAATAAATGTTTAAGTTTAGTTCGTTCACGGTAAATATGAGAAGAATAAGGTAAACAATATTGGACATTTTATATTTTTTGATAGAAAGATTTGATTTGGATAAATAAAAACGAATAGAATATAATTGAAAAAATAGTATGTTAAAGTTAAAATTGGGTTCAATTGAAAAAAAATTTAAAAAATTGCAGTAAAATTGATAAATTATAAAATTTTGGGGATATTCTGTAATTACAAAAATCGTAGTTCACCGGAATAGTGGCCGGATCGGACCGATAGGACCAATTTTGAACAAAAAAAAAACTATAGGACCTATTTTTTTGTGTGAAATTCATTACGGATGAAAATTGAATATGAAAATAATTTAGGGACTAAAAAAATTAAACGCCCCTAATTAGAACTTGTGAGAAAGTAAAACGTACTTGTAAGTTGAAATAATAACTAGAATTGTATGAGACTCTCTGAGTAGCCGCCATCAAACCAAAGCAATTGTTTTGTTTGGATCAGAAAAGGGGTGACTTGAGTTCAGTTTGCCAAATGTACTTCAAACTCACCGCTTATTTCTCCTACCCAAGCAATCCCAATTTGTGGCATAGGACCAAAATTTGCATATTCCGGAATATCCATTCCCGAATGATCCAACAAAAAAGTCTCTACATACAGATCACATTTTGGATTTCCTTTTTATTATCTCTACCAATAATCCAATATCTCCATTCTTCGGTTTAGGGAGCTCTCCAGACTCCCTTCGCCAACTCAAACTCGATAGCTAAAAGTCGATATTGTGTTATACCTTTTCCGTTCCAAAAAAATAGTTTACATTAAATTTTTGAATTTTGTACTGTTTTTAATACAAATTTAAAAACTCAATGTAGATTAATTTTTTTGGGATGGAGGTAGAACTAGTAAATTGAAATACACTATTAAAATGGGACGAATTTATATATATAGTGTGTTAAAACACGCTTAATGACATGTTTGGCGTAAGCTATGATGTGAAGACAACATTAGTAGTACATAACAAACAGTTTTAACAAGAAACCGAGTTTTGTAGTTGTTTAGTTCTTCTTGTTACCACGAACTATGGAGAATGGAGTCACGTCACTGGATACTTAAGACCCCCTGCCTAATTTACGCACGTGCTTCATCACGTGTCATCCTTATAACCCTTCCACGGTCCAGATGTCTCCATGTCATATCCAAATCAAGAAGACCGAATATCCCAAAAGCACCCGAACCACCCAACTTGAATAATCCTCCGCCTCCAACATTTTCCCATTTAAATATTAAATTTTTAAAACTAAAAATCATTTCTTTTTACTGTTTATCTCAGCAGTAAAAAAAAAACTCCTCTTGTTCTTTTGTTTACGTTTCCTCTGTTCATTTCTAAAGTTTCCCCTTTCCTATAAAATCCCTCAACCCCGTGTTTTTTCAACGCTGCTCTGGTTTTTTTTTTTTTTCCCCTCGCCGTCCTTTTTCTCGTTGTATAAATCCGCGGAAATTCCAAAATTGGATTCATTCCATTTTCATCCTCCGATAAATCTTTCATGGATACAGTGTTGTTCGATTCAATTAAGTTGTTGAAGTCAAATCCCGGTTTTTATCCTGCTTCTGTTTCTCAATCTCATCCTTCCATAGCTTTTCCCCGGCGAGTTTCTTGTATTTTCTGTTTCTGACGTTAATCAGCACAAGGGTTTCACCTAATCGCCATGGGTAGAAGTGAGTTCCTTGATTTCATATCTAATCATTTCTGTATTCTTTCTTTTTTTTCTCAATATTTTTTTTCTGGGTCGACTTTGGTTCAATTGAATTTTTGCTAGCTTCTTCGGTGTCTTAAGCTTGATTGCTCCTTTAATTCATTGAAATCAAATGAAATTCTTATTGAATCGGTCTCCAAGTTAATTTTTGGTGAATTCCAGTTCTTTCTCTTCCAATATGAAGTTACCTGTTTGTAATTTTTGTTGTTACCTGTTGTTAAATTTGGTTGCTTTTTATATCTGAAAAGTTGTCAGCTTTCTATTAGGAGAGAGGGGTGCGTTTACTGTTTGAATTTCTTTCTTGATTAAGATGCATTTACATGTGAGCTGCCCGGTACTGATTGTCTCCAGAAATGGGAGTTTGGAAAAAATGCTTGATATTTGCTTTGTATGTTTTTGCATTTGTGACCGCCTAACTTGTGTCATCTCGGGGATTTTGATTGGGGCGAATATTGCAGGGAGTTCACAGAAGAAGAATGTTGCTATGCTAGATAGTGATGACACGGACAGTGTTAGCTCGTCGTCTACTATTCGCTCAGATTACATTGGGGTATCAGGTGGTGAAGAAGTTCAATTTGATAAGGATACGTTGCTGGATCAATATTTAGATGCCCTTTTTGAGAAAAGGTAACAATTGAGTGCTAAGAGTTCTCATGTTGCTATATTCTTCCATCTGAGTTGTGGTGATGATTGTTTCTGCTGTAGAGCTATTTAAATAATTTCCAATTTAGACCATTTGAGTAAATCCTTGAGACTGTTATTTTCTGTCATGGAGCTGTTTATTGATGATGGTATAATCCTGTACGCAGGGGTTCTACTAGGGAGAAGGCTTTGGCATCTTTGATAGAAGCTTTCAATAACAATTTACCGCATGAATTTGTTGAAAAGAAGTAAGCAAATATTTGTGGATTTTTAGCTATTGCAGCTTTTAATTTCAATGCTGGAATTTCTATGTGTAGTGCATTAGTTCCAAGTTCTTAGATTTGGTTGTATCGGGTTTTAATATTTGAATTTTATGATGCACACTTTTCAAGTGGCATGGCTGGGTTTGAAGTCCTCACAATGATTTTGTGATGTATAGATTTGCTACGCTATTGCATCAGTGTTTGAATTCTATTAAGCGGGGTTCTGCGAAAGAGGTGTCAATGGCAGCTCACTTGATTGGTATGCTCCTAATAATCCCTCGCAATTACTCTTTTTCCTTTGGTTATGCGGTCTTCTTATCATTTTAATCTTTGTCTGTTTTGTAGGTCTTTTGGCTTTGACTACTGGCCCTGGGGCAAAAGCTCAAGAAATATTGGAAGAGTCGGTCTCCCCGATTTCTGAGGCCCTCAAATCACGACATGAAACATCTAAGATGTCCGCGGTGCGTGGACCTGATTGTTTTAGGTTTTGAAAATTTAATTGGATTTGATTATGACGAAATTTTTTGGTTTGTTGACATTTTGCCATTTCCAGTTGTTGGAGTGTTTGGCAATTATTACATTTGTTGGTGCTGAGGAGCCGGAGCATACTGAGAAATCTATGCAAATCATGTGGCAAGTTGCAAATCCAAAACTAGGCCCCAACGTATGCTCTATTATTATACTTTGCACTATTACTTAAATGCACCTCTATTGGACTTCAAATTTGCAAAGTAGTTTTTTCATGTCGTAAACTTGTTTTGAAAGGGAATATATGTGTTTAATTGACCATTTAAGTGCCAGTCGGTTTAGAATTGGAAACTGTGAATCAGTACATGCTTTTCTTAATCTTGAGTTCTTAATTAAGTTTATTTGCTTTTTATTTTAGGTTGCAGCAGCTAAACCTTCACCGTTAGTGATAGCAACAGTCGTGAATGCTTGGTCATTCCTTCTTACTACCATGGATGGATGGACTCTTGATCCAAAGAATTGGCAAGAGTATGTTTGCTTTCTCCTTTTCTTTTTAAAATTATTCTTGTTGTTTTCTGGTTCTTAGCGCTGGCTTCGTGTACTAATTCTAGTATTTGGTGCATTTATGTATACTGGTAAGTTATGCTGTTCAACATGCTCTTGTTGTCAATGTAGACAAGACTCCACGCAAGTTAATATTCGAGGTCTAATTTTAGTTTAGTAAAGCGTCTTAAATTTCAACATGATGCAGGTCGATTGCGTACTTCTCTACTTTGCTGGACAAGGATGATAGATCAGTGCGTATGGGAGCTGGTGAAGCCCTTGCTTTGATTTTTGAGATAGGTAGCCTGGAGAAGTTCTCTAAGGGATCTAGTGAAAGTTCTAATAGTGAAGCCGACAAGTCTCGTGAACTGATGCATATTCAAGGCCTAAGGTCTAAAATTTTAGGCCAAGTGAAGAATCTTTCTGCAGAGGCTGGTGGCAAAGGGGCCGTTGCCAAGAAAGATCTCAATAGTCAGAGAAATACTTTCCGGGAAATCTTGGAATTTCTTGAGGTATGACATATAGTGGGGTTACCTTACGTTTCTTAAATAGCTTCTCTTATCTGTACCTGGTGTATGAATTTCTGAATTTCTTCGCAATTTTCAGGACGGTTACAGCCCAGAGAATACAGTCAAAATTGGTGGAGATTCTTTGAGTACAACCTCTTGGGCTCAGTTGATCCAGGTTAGTCATCTTTTGAGTCCGTTGGCATTGTGTGCAAGCTCTGTGAAGACTAACAGTTCTTTTGCCCTGACAGTTGAATTTTTTGAAGCATTTTCTTGGTGGAGGGTTTGTGAAACATATGCAGGTAAATTTGGATTAGTTTTTGTCTTTTGGAAAGAACATAACATAAAACTCCATTTTCTCAGTTGATTTTATTATTGATCTGTGGATATCTAATATGTCCGCTTCGATTTTGTAACAGGAGAATGAGTTTCTTCATGATGTTTTTGATTTCTCACCTAAGAAGTCTCTTGCATCTGCTGAATATCGACTATCTGCCAGTGCAAAGGTAATATTTTAGTTCAGATTTCACTTTGGAAAGACGCCTTACTGTCTATAGTTTTAATCGATGATATGGCAAGCGGAGCTTTACCTTCTTTGTTCCTGAAGTGCAGTGTGGTTTATGATTTGACTACTCCATTTTGTTTTCCTTAGTGGGATGCACACGTAGGTGGATTCTTTTGTTATGCTTTAGACAATAAGTCAGCCTCTAGGCATTGAACCATATACTGAGAATTCATTTTCCCCCTTCCCTATGCATTGTTGGTCTTTTATTTTCACCTTTGCGTTTTTTGGGCCTGTGTTCTGGGGATTATCTTTTTGATTGCATCTTCTTTTCAATGTTACGCTCTTCCCCAGGTCTTTTGGTCTGTTGTCACTATCTCACTTTCCTAATGAATACACGAGATTTAGTTGCTGAGATAAAAATGTTTTGCTTTGTTTCAGAGGTTATACAAGTCACCTAATTCAGGTCTCAATAAGGCTCGGACTCAGTTCCTCAACAAACAAAGGGCGATATCGCAGGTAACATACAAAGTTTAGTGGTTGCCTTCTCACTAGTGTCCAGCATTTTGACGTCTATACCCTACAAACACGCACAGACACATTCTCCTATGATCTACCATTAGAAATCATCTAAGCCTACGAAGAGTCAGAAAGGTTTCAGTGATTTGTATGTGACAGTTGAAATAATGTTCATCTAATTTGGGGTTCTGGTTGAGAGAATCTGCACCACATCATTTTACTTGTGGAATTGTTCTATGCTTAATATGTTAAAAGAGTGAGGCTTTGAGCATCATTCATGCGCTCTTTCATGAGAAAAGGAACCAATTTACATGCTCTAAATTTTGTTTTCTCCTTCAACCTGTAATTTTGCATCATTGTTGATTTATTTAATTGATATTGTGTGCTTCTTTATGCAGGGCAAGAATACTGGACAGTTTGCTGTTAGTTTTGATCCGGATATGGCATGAGATATATATATTGAGATAATCCAAAGATTAGGAACACACCCACAACTGGCCAGCTGCTCGAGTTCTGGAGATTGTTGTAGCATGACCGTTCATGCATGCTGGTTTTCCACCTTGTGTTGTAAATTAATTCTTTGTTACAACTTTTATACTAATAAGTATCAAAATTAGGCCCTAGTTTAGGAATTTGATGGGGTTTCAGAATACATTTATCACTCTGTGAAAAGTTGCAATAATATACTTTGTGTGATAAAAGTTTGAGAAGGGCTCATTTCCTTGCCATCTTTGTTGGTCTAGCTGTTAATATCTCATCATATATCTGCTGCTACATAAATTTCAGTGACAAGTGCTTCCCGTGGTGCGAGTTTTGCAGTGACTCCCTGATTTTGGGGGTTTTCTTTTCTCTCTCTCTTTTTTTTTTTTTTGCATTGGTAAACGTTTATCAAAATCTGCAGTAAAATCTGAAGAGGAGACTGTCGGGACTGATAACGAGCGATGTCCTGTTACTTGCTTCTCTGTATTTTTTACTTTGTCAGCGTTGAGGATTGATTTTGGACAATCACATGGTATTGAGAAGAAATGCTGTCTTCAATGTGGCGAGATGGAAAAAAGTTCAAATAAAGTCAATTAATAGCTGCGCTGAAATGCGAAAATGAAAAGTATGCTGAACTTGCTGATCAATCGAGACACGTCCAATTTCATTATCCTTCCAAGTTCCAACTTTTCATCTTTTGTAATCTCTACGGACATCAATGATCAGAAGGTGGCACGCACAGTATATTACATATTGCGAAAGAACTATATAGTCAAATAATAAAAAGCAATGTGTCTCACGTTATGCAGTAATTTCTTTCCTCTGTCGATATAGACTTCAGTCTTCACCACCGCCGGAGGCTTCTTGTTCATTTCTGCAAAGGAAAGGCTAACTTAATGTTCAATTCCAACAGAGATAAGACGCAGTATCTGTACAAATAGAAACTTGAAACTCACCAGCTACCATCTGTCGGTCCGTGGTGAGTGACCAGGAACAAAAACTCCATGTTTGCAAAAGTAATACTTTGGTAACCTATACAATTGCGGAATACACATGTTCCTGTTTTCTTTGGCCACTTGGATTATCAACAACGAATGTTCACTGTTCAGCTCAAGTCAGTAATTCATCACTCCTTGAAAATGTTTCTTCATAGCTAGATTCTTTCTATGGTGTCTTCCACCTCCTCTCCTTCCTCCGCCCCTGGGATTCGCCCTACCACCTCGTCCAGCAACTTCATCAACTTCTGGCTCTCCGTCCACCTCTTCATTTGCCTCATCCATCCTTCTGACCCCACCTCCTCTCCTCCCTCTGCCCCTGGGATTTCCCCTACCACCTCGTCCAGTAACTTCATCAACTTCAGGCTCTCGTTCCACCTCTTCATTTGCCTCATCCATCCTTCTGACTGCAACTCCTCTCCTCCCTCTGCCCCTGGAATTTGCCCTACCACCTCGTCCAGCAGTTTCATCAACTTCAGGCTCTGCATTCACATCATCTCTAGACTTATCCATCCTTCTAACTGCACCAATAGGTAAATTACCACCTCTTCCAAGGCCGTGGATCAAATCCTTCTGTGTTTGATTCATTAGGGTTGCTTCACCATAATTATTTACGGGAACAGAACCTTGCACTTTGTAACTGTAGTTTTTTCCATCCTTCACATAATATTGAGGCTTTTTACGAGAGTTCCATTTTGCAGAACTGGAGCTTCCACTATCACTTTCCTGTGACTTCCCATGATCATAAGATAGTTTGTTGCTCAAACTCTCAGTTTCCTCGAGGCCAGAGTCACCAACACTGAGGCCTAAATCGTCAAAAGAATCGTCATATTCATCTTCATATTCCAATTGTGAAATAAGAGCAGAATTTTTGACCATGTACTCCTTATCTTTGGAATCAAGTGACTTCTCATCAAGTGAATCTGTAGTAGCCTTTCTGATAAACCTTCCAACAGTTGATGAGGACGACGATGAAGCTGGCAGCGTCTCAGGTTGATATGCCAATCTACCCAAAGCAGAAAAGGACGAAGAAGAATACTTCGAAGAAGCCTCACGTTCATTGGCAATTTGGTCAGTAACGGGTTGCACATAATCCTCACATTTTTCTTTCCCTTTCCCTTTCCCTCTCCCAGATGTGGTTGTAGAGACATTTCGCTGTTGTGGCATTTGCTCTGAAGACATATCCAATGATTGCAGATCTTCATGCAGTGTTCCTTCCAAGATCCTCTGGATAACATCTTCCGGATTGTGATTGTACACTTCAAGACATGCGGCCAAAAACCCTTTGCCATAATCTGGGAAGAGATCTTTTATTTGACTAATTTTTGATTCCAAAATTGCAGCATCCTCTTCACCATTCCGGCAGTCAACTATCCCTGGAGACGGCAAGTGGGATTTCTCCTCGGACTTTACTTCCAAGGTATGACCAAGGATACCAGAAAGTAGCCGGCTTTGCTCATCATCAATTGACATCCAGCCTAAAAAAAAAAAAATATTATCAGGAAGTCTATACACATGAGCTTTGAATGTTTCTAGAAAAACTACAGGCACAACAAGGGGACAGCAAAGGTACTGTGCTCGTATTTTCAACCAATTAGAATATAACTTCTCAAAACTGGGGTAACATTAGAAAATACACGAGGAAACATGAGTTCTAAACTTGCCCGCACTTCTATTAGAAAATTGATTCTCAAGTGTTGGATCTACACTTTTAACAGAAATTAAAGTGAAACGTCAGCCAAAAGAAAACCACAATAACAACACTTTGAACTAAATAGACAAACCACATAAAAACTAAAATCTCACCTGTGTTCTGCAACAATTGAACTCTGCTGATGATCTTGTGGTTTTTTTCCATGCTTTGGAGAAATGTTCCCCTTAAAACTCCTCCGCTAATTTCTGAGTGCTCTAAACTGATGTCTCTTAACATCTGCACCAAAATCTCTGTCCTAATCACAGGATCATCAACATTTGCTGGAAACATCTTCATGGCAGTCGGGAAAGAAAAACCCTTCTCAAAGGCCTCTTCACTTAGATAACAGGAATATAGTAGTTTCCATGAAAAATTTATAATCCTCATAGATAATAACTTGATACTGAGAAGAACATCTGAGATCAAATCACTTGATGATTCCAGCATTGCATCATCTCCTGAAGTTAGAACAACACGTAATCCTTTTTGCAAAGATGGCAGCAGTGAATCATGCAGTCTTGCAAGGGTAGTGAGCAATTCTTCATTCCCATCACTGTTTAGAAAAGTAAAAAAACTGATGAGAAATTTGACTCTTCAATCATCAAAGGAATATGAACTTTGTTAAATCCAATCGAAATCCTCAACTAAGATCAGCAACATTAAAAATCTGCAGAATGAACTTAGTACCTCATTTCTACAGGACAGCAGAAAAAGACTGCTGCATGCTTGTATGCGCTGACGAAGGCATCCATATTAACAACTGCGTCATTTATAAAATCCATTACCTGCAAACAAATACAAAGTCCTCAAAAACCTAGCAGCTTTTTACAGGCAGGATGCATAGAGCAATAACATTCAAACTAGTTACTGTTTGGACAGAAAGCGATTTTATCATAGTTCTGAAAACTATGGTCGGAGCTGGATGATGGGAACTAAATAAATAAAAACATAGCATAATCAATATCTTTGGTGGTAAATCAATATCTTTGGTGGCAACGGTTAGGAAGCAAAGTAAAAAATTCACCTCCAAATAGTCTGCACGAAGACGGCTAACTGGTTGACCTTGCAGGTCAGTAGAAGAGAAAAGGACCTGCAAACATGAAAGGAAAATAAAAGTTTTGATACGATACTCATTGGTATTAGACATATATTTATTTTTTCGGGGGACGGATTGGTATGGATGCTTTGCAAGATGGAAATTTTCACTATCAGCTCGAAAAAAGCAATGCACAAGAGAGAACTTCTTCAACTCAATAAGAGTATAATGACGAAGTACATTCCACTTCATGTCTTAATACAACAACCAAGATCTATCTAATTTGGTGTCGGTTCACTTTCCAACAAACTACGAACCAGAGAAATGAAGGAAAAGGTACCTCTAAGGATGAGCTACATCTTTGATACATTGTCCGGACAATGCTCAAGAATTGCGATGAAACTTCAGTAAACTCACTATGCAACCAGGGCTGAGCATTAATGGCATTTTCAACCTGAAGGATCATATATTACACATGTATAAATTAGAGAGAAAATAAGAGAAAAAGCAACACAACTAATAAAGAATTAGAACCTTTCAGTAATTTGTGAAGATGAAGTAAATGCAAATAGGAATTTATTGCATGTAAAGCAAGAATTGTGATCAACAGACACAGTCATGAACCCAACTGATCCACACACAAAACTACTAAAAACAAGAACCTTTTGCATGACAGGCTAGATATTTAGACTTCATAGGCAAACGTTCAAGGGACACAGATATAAGCATGAAGCAGGCCGGAAGGTGGATGATGAGTGATGCAAAACAGATCCACAGGCAAGAAGAAGAAAAAGCGCACAAGACCAAATATGATGAAACAAAAGAACTTCACAAGTGGGTACTAAAGATACAAATCATATGTGCAGTGTTTCCTATAATACTATAATATAATCAAAGGAAAACAAGGAGATAAACACCCTTAATCATTACATCAAAAAGGATAAAAGACAGGAGAACAGAACTGAAACTTTGGAAACAGTAATGATTAAATTCAAGAAACATGTACTTCAGTGTAACAGGGAGAGAAAAAGACTAGTCACAGTACAAATGAAGTTCTATGAGAACCAAATACCACGGGAACTCATTATTTTGAAATAACAAAGAATTAGGAGTGAAATTCTATTAAACATTTACCAACACTTTTGTCAGATCTTCATTCTCGTGGCCATACAAGGCACAAATATCCAACAATTTTGGTAGGTCAAGCAATTTCTTTTCCTGCAAGAGAGCTACAAGTGGAATAAGTGTGAACAACATGTACCTAGAAAGTGCAAATTATACTACTGGCCATAGTTTCATCTTTCTCCAAATAAAAAAATAAAATAAAATAAAATAAAATAAAAAAAAAAATCAATTTGTACTTTTGTAATCCACATAAAAAGATTTTCCCACAGAACTAAATGTTAGATTTGAAAATAGACGTTTGCTTCCTTCAAAACTAAAACAAAGATATTAATTGTTATCAACTAATCACAGGTAATTATTAAATCTTTAGGATTCGTCAAACATCCAAACTGATGTTTAACAAACCCAAACTTCCCCAATTTCCAGTTCTTTCTTTCACTGCAACTTTAAATTAACTAATATGCAGGAAAGGGTTTTTTCTTTCGGCAGAGAATAGCAGCAACGTTGCGTCGACCCTTCTGAAGTATAACAAGGTATAAGATAGTGTCGCTTTAGAGAAAAAGTACCTGTATGATCTTTTGAACTAAGACTATCAGCTATCTTAGCATTAGGATCCCGATTGGAAGATCTGCACGGAATCAACATCAAGTCAATCCGTTACAGAATTTGAAAATGCACATAAACAATTAGACCAATCAATCCCTCCAGAACTCAGGACTTACATGCGATACAAGACCATAAACACACGACGACAAAGTTCATGGTCCCCTACGATAACTCCAGCAACTATACCCCTGGCTTGACGATAAGGAAAATCATACCATCTACTCTTGTACTTTAAGAAGCTTTCCAGAAAAGCATGAAGGGATGTATCGCTGGCAACTGAGAAGTGTACAATTAAAAGGGGTCAATCAAAGGACTGATTATTTAACATTCTAACTTAAAGGAGACATTAAAACGGATGGAAGCACCAGTGGAGTCCAGTTGAATTATACCAACACTCGAACTTCCAACCTAAGAACATCATCTAAAAGTCCTAAATTGCAGAGCTGAAAATTAGTAATTCAGTAAGACTAGATTTCGGGGTTAGGTACAATATAATTTGCCACCCCATCCAACATAAAACATACACCCGATTCCTAAGCTTCCATCCTGTTTTGATTCTAATCATCATTCATACGAAAAAAAGAAAAAAAGAAAAAAGAAAACTGGCCTTCTTTCCAGAAATCTCTAGGCTTTGATTTGAGGAGTCGGGACAATTCCCTGTTCAAAAGATCGACAACTCGTTGAGACTCCACGGGGTCCAAACCGCCCTCATCGGCACCAAGCCCAGATGCCACCGCCTCATCTTGGGGCAAATAGTTCACAAAATTCCCAGTCTGAATTCCACTCTGAGTAGAAACCCAGCTACCACCATCTCCCGCTTTCACCCCGCCGCCGCCACCAGACTGAAGGGATTCCCGGGAGGAGGAGGAGGATTCTCTCAAGGAATTGGAGAGAGTCTGATTGGCTTTGGGAGCATAATAAGACCTTTGGGTTTTAGAAAAGCCCTTTCTGTTACCCTCAGAGTATCTGTTCGACGACATTACGGCGGTGAAAATCCCGGAGCGAAGAAGAAGACGATTGGGGAAATAAAGCCCCGGGGACAAGTCTTGAGCAGTTGAGCGTAAAAACTGGCGCTCCTAATGTTATTGGCGGTGGGATGGGAATACCTTTTTTTTTTTACTTTTTACCCAAACTCCAAACCCAAATTCTAAAATCTTTGCAAACTGAGAATGAAATATATAGAGATTGTCAAGAAGAAAATCTTTGCTGGTATTCTAGTGGTGGTGGATAATACTACTTTGCAGCTTTAAATTTTGTCTTCTTTATAAAATAACCAATTTTGCCCTAATAAAAAAAAAAACATGCTTATTGAACTACTAAAAAAACTATAGAACGACTGTGACTTTTTTCCTTTGGGGATTCATAATGCACAAATCTCACTTTAATCGCTTTATATAGTATAAGATTATCGGGGCTTTGGGTATAAGTCATGAGCTATATTATACATACAATACACAAAACAAATTTACATCAATCCTTATTTTTCATATTTAATGAGCTCCGAAACTTGTGATTTTCCTACACCGATTTGAAGCTGAAAGCACTTCTAGTAAGCACTAAGCAAAGATAGTAAAAAATCGGCCATCTTTCAATCGAGTTTTACATACACACTAAAGCACAAGAGCTCCGAAACCACTCCTAAATAAACTTGCGAAAAAGATTGAAGCAAAATGACATGACATATACAAATACTTCTACACTTCATATCGGTTCCTCACGGCTGAAAGATTGACGATTTCTTTATACTAACAAAAACTAAAAGCAGAGCTCAAAACTGGTTGTTCTTCGGGTTATGAATACTTCTGTACAGAATTCTATAAAGATTACGAGAAATGTCCACTCTCAAACAGCTGATTTGACCAGCTTTGGTATCTAAAGAAATTACCTGTCACCCTAGCATAATCACATGGCTCTGAATATTTGCCCCAACTACAATCTCCTCTAATGTCATCCATCCAATTGCTTTCAAATCTTTTATCAGTTCCTTCTGAGCAAAAGACGTTGCCCATGGTTTCAGGAATGATGCTGATTCAGTTCGATATCGTGAACTTTACCACAAAAAATCGCCCTGAAACAAAAGCCATTTTCCTTCATATCACCCATTCTAAAGCTCCTTTTACTTCCAAACACAGTAAAGAGATCAGGCCCACTCAAAGTTGGTTTCTTTTGGCAAAACCAAGCCAATAAGGCAAGGGGAAGGATTGGGAGCAATAGATAGCAGCGAACACATATCGAGTGAATATGGCATAATGAAAAGAAGTCTTGCCCACATGGAGTTTGCCGCAGGGATTCTGATAACCCCTGCACATTCTCTTTGCTGTAAGTATGACACGAAATCTTGAAACTGCAAAAACCGAAAGGTATCATCAGATAAACCCAAGAGACATTACTAAAGAACACATTGATGGATGCCATCAAGGCATTTCCCAATATAGCAAAAATATTCATTTGAATGGGATTCCATAAGTTAGTAAGTCAAGTAGACAAAAGATGGAACTATAAAGTAAATCTGATTCTTTTTCTGAAACATGAAATATATAAGTTGTATGGCAGGATAAACTTACCCCCTTATGGTCATCTTCAGACAGGGGAAACAACCAGCAGACGTCTTTCTGCATCAACATTCAAACATGTATAGTTAAATACAGGAAACTAACTTAATATGCTCAGGAACCACAGAAAAACAATAGAAAACCAATTCCATCGAATAACCCAACCACTGGCCATAGAGATGAACAGAGCGTAAGTTTGCCTAGATAAGGTTCCAAAGACTCACTTTGTGTGGAGGTGTATTTGCGAAAGTTGTCCTGACATGCCGAAAATCGGTCCTCTTTGTCATATCTAGCTTAGCTGGCCATCTGCAGAGACAGAAACAAGAACGTTTTCAGACATCAAGGAAATTCATTTTATAGAGGTAGCTAGAAAACCAATACGTACTCTGTCGGCTCAGCCATATCATCAGAATATCTGCAAGAGTCAGATTCAGCTCTCTGTGCAATAATTGTACAGAACTGGACACCACTTTTATTCAGGGTTCCCTGCCACCTGTATCGCACAGAAGACTGTCCAGCATGCTCTGAATCAAAAGATTCTGATGGTACAGGGGGAGGGGGAGGGGGAGGAGGAGAACTAGGGGGAGGAGGAGGAGGAACCAGAGGTGGCTGAGAATAAGGGGGTGGAGGTGGAGGTGGAGGCTGAGATGGTGGTAATGGAGGCTGGACACCAGACTGGGAAGGGGGTAAAGGAGGTATCATAGCAGGTGGAGTTCCCATGGGTCCAGGATACATATGACCATATGGCGGCATTGAGTTTCCATGATATTGAGGTAATGGAGTCACAGAAACTGGCATAAACGTAGGTGGAATTTGGTTCTGATGAATATTAGGCATTATACCAGGCGAAATAGGATTCATAGGCATATGACTGCGTGGATCCCATGAACTAGTTGGGGGGAAATTGAGAGGCCTGAATTGAGGTGATTGAACAGGCACCGGCGGAACAATAGGAGGCCCAAGATTTTGTGCAGGTACACGTGAGAGATTTCCTTGTCCAGAATGCATTTCCATTTCAGAGTTTCTGAACATCCACATCCGATCAGCAGAACCTGAAACCATTTGACCACCTAAGGAGGATAAGAAGGGGTGAATAACGAACACTCCTCACTCTTTCCCAATAAGTAAAGATAAAATCACTTAAAAAGTTATATTTCAGATTAATGGAGCTAACTCCTACACAGATTCAAGTACGCAGAATAGCAAAAGAACAGTACCTCCATGTGAAGGATCTGCAAACAATGCCTCAGAAGTCCGAGCTCCAATTTCAGGCATCCCCCTATGACCAGCATGAGACCAATTTGATTGAAATACATGACCACCTTGTCTTTGGATTCCCTGATTTTCAGGATTGAGTCTGGGTGAAGCGAGCTCCAGAGTATTACCATCAGGATTTACTGGATGCCGGGCAGTGGGGTGCTTCCCGTTATGACTGAAAATACAATATTGAAGTATTACTGAAAATACAATATTGAAGTATTACTACAATGAATGAAAGGAGTGATGCAAAAAGAATTTCTTGACACATGATTAGATTTTTAAAAAAATAATTACAGCACAGCTAAAATAGGCTCCGTTTTTAAACTAATAAAAATGGGTCAAAGCATAGACCATGAAGTGCTCATGGAGGATCACCACAAACAGGAATAACTAACTGGAAAATACTTTAACAACTTGCATTAATAATTCCCAGAAAACTATCAAATCCGTGGATGCCATATTGCTAGAAGCCTGAATCAATAAGCTTCCAAATGCGACTTCAATATTTATGTCCATTGTCAGTGGAGCTGGAAGAGTCATCATTGACAATTCTTTTAGCTCTGTGCTAATAATGGACTGGATCAAAATGGCACTGTTAAATTCCAGTGCTTCTTCTATTGGTGACGGGAAATAAATATATCAAATGACGCAATGTACCGCGGGTCGCAACGGAAACAGCCTCTTTGTATAATAACGAGATAAGGCTGCGTACAACTGACCCCCAGACCCCAACTTGATTGAGAATATACTGGGCATGTGACTTCTGAAAAAAGGATGAATTAGTTCCTATGCTTTCAGCCATAATGTACGATTTCCACAAAGCCATCTGACATATACATGAAAGGCCCCCTTTAAATAAAACAGGATATCTAAGCCAAAGATTTTGGGACCCAAAATTCTTCGTGGAACCTAAATAGATTACTAGAATGTGAGTCCTCTTTCACAGCTCATAAAACAGTTAAACTAAATGGAAGAAGATTTGAAAAGTGAGACACTCAGCCTGGAAATAAATGTTTGATTTGAACATGTTCACCATCCAACATTTTCCAACTGTGCCAACCATGAAATGCTTAATACACTGGACATAGATTCCAACCGAAGACATCCAATGGCCTAAGGGTTTACTAGAACATGGAACACGATACACTACCAAACTGTGTCTATATTTAATGAATGAACTATGCCCTAAAAATTTTCTAAGGTTAAAACTGATAAGAATATGTCAAAGAAACCCACAACCCGCAAAGTAAGAAGGCAGCTGTGAGGAGGGAATGTAGCATCAGTTCAAACCTGAATTCTATTTGGAAAAACATTCCGGGGCAGTCACGAAAATGTTTCATGAGAGCTTTTGCGGTCCCGACGCTGTTGCATTCTACAAACCAGCAGTTACCTGTTGGAACATTCTTTGTCAACCTGACGATGGATCCAACATTGTTGATTGCCACGTTACAAAGAGTCCATAGCTCATCATCTGTGAGATAAATTGTATTCATGTGCGGAATGCTGATCCAGAGAGTACTCGTGGCCGGTAGTTCATCTCTTGTTGAAGCAATTTGATGATTTCCAGCAACACGGCTATCAGATGGAACTGGATTTTGAGCAATGTTATACTTCATACGTAATTGAGAAACGATAGAAGACAAATGTGATATCTTCACTGAATAATCATCAGATGGATTCTCAGGCAACACTTGACTGGCAGAATGTTTGCTTCCTTTATCAACCAAAATAGGAGTAGACCCAGGTCCAGCAGTTGCAGCATGTACTGCAACTTCAGAAGGCCCGTTTGATCGCACAAGGTTAACACTCTCCCTGCGGAACTTTCTTAAATGAACCACAGCACCATTTGCTTCATCAGGTGTATCGAACTCCATTAACAAAGCACCTTCACTATTAAGATGAGTTGCCATCCGAGGCCCCTTATTAAGAGCCTTGCTTACTTCATTCATTATCTCATCCCTCTGCCAATGATTTGAAACATAACCAACATACACATGGCAATTCGTAGCGACAGAAACCCCATCTTTACCTCCCCTGACTCCTTGATTCATATCAGAGAACTTCACAGAAACACAAGCACCCCAAGCTGAACGCCCTCGCATATTTGCCCGGGCTTTGATAGCATCCATCATGTTCCTATACTCTATCAAGGCATATCCTTTGCGTGGAGAATAGGTGAAATGATTTATAGGGCCAAACTTCTCAAATTGAGACCTTACAAGCCCGTCTGTTGCTTCAGGGCCTAAAGAACCCACCCATAGCTGTTTAGATGCTGCAAAAACGTCCATTGCTTCTGGGTCACCATCAGAGAATGGAGACAGTGGATTTATTGAAAGATTTCCCACAGAAGCATGATGCTTTGGTGAATTGAAAGAACGGTTCATGCCTTCACTGGTAAATCTCGGCGTAGGTGAGGAGATGTCCCTGTTCGACAAATGAGTCTTCTCCCTTTGGAACCCTTGGCTTGAACCCCGTGAACCAACAGGTGTTCTAGGTTTAGGTGATAGAACATTTCGGTTGGAGAAGTCTCTCGGCGTGGATGACCTGCATTGTGATGAATCTCCTCCGCCAAAATCGAAGTCCATAGGTGTTGACCCTCCAGTATCTATTGACAGACTTGAATGGTAATCTATTGAGCTTTGTTTTCTTACATGTAACGAAGAAAATTTGTTGGCGAACTTATCATATATTCTTAAACTACTGCCTTTTCCAATATCCTCAGATGAAGTTTCGGGAAAACTGGATTCGGAATGAACAAAAGACTGACTACTATACTTAGATTGACCACATTCACCCCCGTAACGATCTAGTTCTTCAGGGAAAGATCCAAGTAAACTGTCCAGGACGGAAGTAACATCTGGAACAGTCTCCATAACTGCAGATTTTGACAACTTCCTATACTTCGACAAAAACCAGCTTTTAAGGGATGGGTCCTTTTCAAGAATCTGCATGATGGAAGGGATAAATTTGCCATTTCAATAGACATTTAGACTCATATCAAAGCTGAATCATTTTCAAGGCCTTTTTATAGGCATTTCCTCTAACAGGAGCAAAAGAATCAGAATGGTAAAGGTATTAAACATTTTTAATATCCTTTGTAGCTTCAGGAAATTTACCAAGGTTGACACAATGATGGCATCTCTAACAACTTTGAAAACAATTATTTTGATCAGCTACCAGTATTAAAATTATATAATACATATCAGTAATTTGTGTTAAACTTCCACAATTGCATCTAGATTTCAAAATTGAAAAAACAAAAAAAAAAGGGAAAAAGAAAAAAGAAACAAAGAAAAGAAAAGAACAATGACATCGACACTACAGGAAGAGATGGCTGACCCCACGATTCAGTCCTGCAGGTAACAGATGAATAAGACTAATGGAAAGCATATTTTACAATTCAAATAAACATAGCAAGCAGCTTGTCCACTATTCAATCTTTTAAATGGTAGCGCTACGAGTCATTATAGCCAAGAAATTAGAAATCGATTTGCTTATACGTCACCGGGAATGAAGCCTGTCTCTAGAAACAAGAATCAGCAACATATACAAAAAACACATCAGATGTTCTAGAGTACTCCAAGCCATCTCTCTCCCTGAGAAAACCAAACCAATGCAATACTTCTCCAAGGGCCAATCCTTGTGAGTAAGAAAACAAGTTTCTTGTTTTCAGGGTGTATACAGACTAGATTCCATGCAATTAATCATAGACACACCCAAGCAAATGTATAAATTAAAAAATGGGGAAAGGAAAAGAACAAATGATACAATTTAGGGCCACAGAAAGAAAAGATATTATGGATATTAAATTTATGAGAAATCTAAAGCCCAACTAATTACCAGGCCAAGGATGCAATTCCCTAGAGCTTTAAGAGTATGGTCGCTTTCTGCAACATTTCCTTGTTCACCAACAACGTTGCTCTGGCAACTAGTTCCTGCAGAATTTGGAGAAGATTTTCGACCAATTCCATGAGTGGCAGCATCATCAAGCGTGCTGGTTAGTTGGCGAAGAAAGTAATGACCCTCCTTTTGTGTAAAATCTGTAACTGCCAGGTTTAGGAACTCAAAGCACACCGAAAGTGAATACATGGGGCAACAAAAGAGCAATCTCAGAAAAGTTGCAGCTCTAAACTTAGATATTTTCAATACCGTCGAATCTCCTTTACAAACAAACTTCTCCTTGAAACAAGAAATATATTCATCATCCTCCAAAATCTTTAGAGTTTCCTGATTGACAATTTGGAAAACATCTTTCCCCTCAAAGGAAGATATGAGAAATGTAAACACATCACGAAAAACTGCAGAACAAATGCCTCGAATAATTGATGATGTCGGGGCTTCCTTTGTAGCAGCTTGACAGATAGTAATCAGACCAAAAATGCAGGCCTCAACAGTTCCATAAGCAACACCATCAAAATCTTCCCCTTTGCTTATCACCGGCAAGCTGCAATTATGCATGTTAAATACAACCTTTATCGCTGCTTCAAGTGCAGTTGGACAATATGATGCGTATCTTGGAATCAAATCAGCTACTATTCGTTGTACACTAGCACAGCCTGAATACCAGCAGTAACAATCATCATAGCTCATTCATGAGGAATACGAGGAAATAGATGGGAACAAATAAACTGCATGAGTGGTATTAATGTTTTTCACAGTATAAAAAGTTCGTTCCGTGGACTGCTCCAGGCACCAGTATGTTTGGACATGATACAGCACAACTGTGTAACTTTTACCACTTAAATCTATCCACAAGAAAGATTTTCTCAGAAACTGAGATAAAAAGTTATGAGTTTGCAAACAACAGCTAAAATTAGGGTTTGGTCTCATTTCTCTATATCATATTTAACCTCAGAATGCTAAAATCCTTTTTCCAAGACAAATTAAACATCGCAGGCAAGATTACAGCTACTTCGAGAAATGATAACAACTAGATTTGTACAAAAAGCATCTCCTCCGATTCCAACAATAAGAAGTAAACTCTAAAGTGAGAAAAGAACAGACCCATTTAATCGCCAGACAAAACAGATATAAACAAATTTAAGGGAAAAGAATGTTGAGAACATCGACGATGACCTGTTCCCTAGCACAAAATTCACTAAAGTAAAAAGGAGGAGAGTTTTAATTAAGTTAGTTACCTCGGGAAGCAGCAATAAGATAGCGGTAAGCTTGTTCGAGTTCCGGCGAGTGAGAGCGGCAAGGTTCCTTCTTTGCAATGCAGCTCTTAATTTGCTTGAGACAGTTGTAGACTTCACGAATCTCTTCGCGATTCCTCTGCCGCCGGAGAATTTGTTCTTGCGATAGAGGCTGAACAGGGGGCGTTCCCGGCGGTGGCGGTTCGGTTGATTGCCATTGGAGAGGCAGAGGTGGGGGTGGGGGTGTGGGTGGTGGCGGAGGTGGAGGCGGAGCTGGGGTTGACGGCGACGAGTGTTGGAATTGTTCGTAGAGCTTGCGCTTCTTCAGCGGCTGCTCCGCCGAAGCCATACGGTGTCGATGAATGAGGAAGAGAACTTCCGCTCCTTATGACGGACTTGGGGCCCCGACTGACGAGCCCGCCTTTTCTCCTTAAGATCTTTTCTTTTACATGTGAGTCATATATTGAATTACCTTATTACCCTTCACTAAGTCCTTTTTTTTTTTCGTTTTATTTCTTACTAGGTTTTAGACCCGTGCATTCGCACGTGTTTGGGCTTTAGTCCCTGAATTATTTTGAGTTATACAAACGCTAATGGTCCTTTTTAAGACGTAAATGAAGTATAAAGTAATAGATGATGCAAAAATATGTAGCAAATAAGAAACTATGTTTTACATCCCGCGTTTCGAAATTATTGTCTAGATTGAATTTTCATTTTCTTGTGCAAATTAAACTAAAAAATCTAAACTAGATAATAATTTCGGGACAGAAATCTAAAATAAAGTTTGTTTGAGAAAACCATAAATCCAAAAGGCAAAGCAAATAGATTGAATTTGCTAGGATTTTGCGGAGTCTTCTATGATTTGATAAGGATGAGGAGAGTGAGATATTGTTTGAGAGAGTTTTTTTTTTTCGGAAGGGTGTTTGAGAGAGTTTTTTTTTTTTTTTCGGGAGGAGGGGGAACTAAATTTATATAGTGAGAGAGAGTTTAAAAAGGAGATTATTTTCGGAGGTTTTCTTTTTTTTTTTAATTTTCTTTAATTGGATGAGTATCATACGTTTCAATGAAAATAAGGTGGAACAATTTTTTAGGTTTATAATAATTGGAATATTTAGAAAACGTGGATTATAGTGATACTGACTTTGACAAGGAGGTTATTTTCGGAGATTTTCTTTTTTTTTTTTTTTTAATTTTATTTTAATTGGATGAAACGGCATCAAAAGTTTTAATGAAAATATGGATGGAACAACTTTTGAGGTTTATAATTATCGGAATATATGGAAAACGTGGATTATAGTGACAGTGACTTTTATAAGGAGGTTTTCTTTTCTTTTCTTTTTATTTTAATTGGATGAAATGGTATCATAAGTTTTAATGAAAATATGGAGCAACTTTTAAGGTTTATAATAATTGAAATATTTGGGAAACATGGATTATAAAAAGGGAATAATGATTCCTTTTTTCTTAGAAAAAAAAGATAATACTTCCTTTTTTTGTTTTTTATTTTTTTCTTAGGAATTAGGGTGAGAGAATTTTAAGCAAAGAGTAACACTTGGAATTTTAGGAGAATCATGGTTTTTGTTGTAATGGGTGTGTTTATAAATAGATTTTTTCTTTCTTTTAAAATTATAGGGCTTGTCTGGTGCATTGCACGGACATTGCACAGGCAATTAATATGTACTAGATGCTTGTCCCGGGCGAATGCCCGGGGTCTCGCCTGTATTTTTAAATTGATTAAATAAAAAATACGAATCATTTTTATAAGAATAAAAAGAAAAATTAGAAGAATAAAAAATCGATTGAAAGGACAGAAAGTGAGCTATTACACATAAATCTATGCCCAGATTTACAACATTTAATTTATAACAGTTTATTTATGCCTGGGTTTACATAAATCATAAACCAATATCTACGACAGAAGAATAAAAAAAAATCATCCTTAAAAAATTAAATTTCTTTCATTACAACTTATTTTTTCTCTGTTGTAGAAAGAGATGAATTGATAATTGATGTCAGATTCTAAGTAATTGATTTAAAGGCTCGGGTATGAGAGAGGAGCGGAATGGAAGAGATTCTTTAAAATTGAGAATTGGGAAGACATTACTGGTGTTTCACTTGATTTAAGGGGATATCTAAGTACTTGATTTTATCAACTAAATATTGTTGTTTTAAATGATTAATATATACTTATAATTAAGATATTTTTATGTAGCTATAATTAAGAAATTAATGTATTTATCTATTCTATCCTTTTTTTTCTGATTAGTTAGAGTGCCACGTGTCAAAAATGATTTTGTACTGAAAATGGGTTTTGGCGGGAAAATTTTCATTGTGGTGCTAACACATGTTCTTTTTGTTTGCTGCTTTAATTAAGTACTATAGATTACAATTACAACCGCATAGTAACACTTAAGAAAATCGACATCAAATTTTATAGAAAAAGATTGATATTCTCTCCGTCCCAGAAATAATCCTGTTTGATAAAAAATTTTGTCCAAAAAAATAATTCAGTTTCTAAAAAATCAAAATAAAAACATATAAAATGACTCAATTACCCTATCTGATAAACAAATTAGTACGTACTTTATCATTTACCCAACTTTCTTGAAGTTGACGACGCTGGTGGACAAGCTCCGACGGTGACGTTGGAGGAGGCACGTCCGTCAATACATCTCAATCTACTGTTTGCATAAATTTTGATCTACCGTTTTTAATAAATTTTGAATTGAGATTTAAACAAAGAAACGTTCTTATCGAATTTGATGAAGAGGGAGGGGGGAAAGAGAGAAAGAGAAGAATATACGCGGCAAAAAGATGAAAGCGAGTCCACTTTAGAAAATAATTTTTTTGAAGTGGTGGTTGAGATGAGAAGAAAAACGGTGAGAAGAAGCAGTAATTTGTGTAGTCGTCGGAGGTTGCTATAGCCGAAGAGCGAAAGAGACATAAAAATGGGAACTAGATCAGTAAGTAGAGTGTTCTTGTCGGTGATTGAAAGAGAGAGAAAATAGGAAACACCTAATTTGCAAAGAGAAAGAAATGAGGAATCAAATTTGCTCATTAAATTTTCAACCAGTGATAAAATTGAAAGTTCATGACATAATAATGAGTTATACCTTGTTGGATTGACCAATTAAAAAAAGTTCTACCTTATAAATTGGATTTTTTTTTTCTGGAACGAAAGGAGTACAAAAGAAACAAACAAATTTAACAAAAATTAATATGTGATTCTTTTCAATTTTACTTTCTGAATTCTTGTATTTGTGGATGGGATGTGACATACATACGATAGCTTGGTAATGTTTGCACACATATTTACACAAAATCAAGTATGCTTAAAGTCTGGAAAAAAAAAATTGAAAGTACAAAACATAAAAATAAATTTCACAATAGATAGATACTTATCATACTATTAGCGAAAATATTTTCGCGCACTGTAAAGAGGTATTCTAAATCTTTATCCAATTGTTTTAGTCTGCTTGTGTTCTTCAATTGCACTTTTCTTAGAAATTCGCAACGGTGAAAGACGAATTGAACCAAACCTAAAAATAAACCAGGCCAACACAACCAATTATTCAATCAATCATCCTACACATATCCTACTATATTAGAAATAAAAATCCCCCTTTCAAACACCTCCTATAATTACCATATGACATGAGAAAAGTATTAAATTGTCTTTTTGTCTAACAATAACTAAATTACTAAATCCCCATTTGCACTTTACGTGACACTTTTTTTAAAAATTTTTTTTCATGTTTTATTCAATTAGAGTGGTTTTCTTTTCTTAATTATGGAGTCTAAATTGAATTGATCAATTAGGTTCTTGTTACAAAGTGTCAATTTTGTTTTAAGCGTATACCATTCGGATGAAACTTATTACAAAGTTATTAAAAATCTCCAAAATTAAGTATTGATTTGGCACGACCAATGGAGGACATCAATAAATCATCTTACTAATATTTAAACTTATTAAGATGCTTTTATATTTTGTCTAACATTTACTTCAACACATATATTCGATTAAGTCTATTTATATTTAATAAGTAACACTTATAAAACATTTCTAAAACATACATGGCGAAATACAATTTCTTTTTTTGTTAAATACAAATACTTCTATGATCACACTTATAAAACATTTATAAATCCTTCAAACATTTCTAAAATATATCGCTCCAAATACAAATTTTTTTATTTTTAAATATAAACATTTCTAAGATCTACAGATAGACTGGGTCAGGGTCGCGCATTGCGCGACCAGACATCACTAATATATAATAGAAAAGGAAAAAGAGATACACTTTCCTCGAAACTAATTTATAGAAAAACAAAAAAAAAAGTAAAAAAGATCCGATTAGAATTACTAATAAGTAGACTTATTAGAGATGCATGCGATATAATATAAGAGTTACTAACACTGAAAAGATAAGAAAGAGTATGGTGGCAAAAATTGTACCAACAATTCGGCAGAGAGAAGCCGAGAAAAGAGAACTGTGATAATCAATGCAACATTGGGAAAAAGATTATCAACATCACTGGTGGATCCACGGTTAGGGCCCTGGGGGCTATGGCCCCGCAGGGCCCGCCCTGGACCCTATATATACTGTCGTATTTTTTTATTTTCAATTTTTATTTTTTTATTTTCATTTTTGTTACTACTATCTTTGTGTTTTTGGCTATTAATTAGGTTTTACTGGATTCAATATATTTTCCTAATCCAAGTATAATTTTGTTTTTGACTATTTACTCTCTTTTTACCCCAAGAAAAGTGTATGAGGTTTTGCATCGTTTTTTCCAACCCTTCTTTTCCCCTTCTTTCTAGAAACAAGTACCGCCGAAGATGATCACACTATTATGATAAGATGAAAACTCATAGCACTAGTAAATTTAATTTTTTTTAATAAATTTAAAACAATTTTTGTGAACTTTGAGTTTTATTTTTGTTTTTACTTTCAAATGATATTAAGTTTAATTGTTGTCATAAATATTAATCCTTCACTCTCAAACTAATGTACATTGTAAATTTTCATTTTTATATTAAAAGTGAAAATCTAACTAAATAATCATTATAAAACAAAAGGAAAAAATTTCTTTGCTGTGACATTGTTATATTATATGTGGCCCCTTCTGTATTTTTATCCTAGATCCGCTATTGATTAACATCCTATGAGTGCGAAACTATTTATTCAGGATGGACAAATCAATCTAGATTCTCGTGTAGTTTAAAATTTTAAATATTACTGACTTTATCTGAGAAAATTCTGAATCAGTTTCTTGGAAAATTACTACATATTTCTTCTATTTCAATTCAATGGGAAAACTTTTCGTTTTAAAATTTTTAAAAATTCAGTCTCATTTCAGACATTAATGCTAATTTATCTTTGAATTCTCTAATACTCCTCACTGTTATTACTGAAATTTAGCATGTAATTGAATTCAATTCTCAATCTCACCATATTACTTCCTTCATTTCAAAATGTAAGTCACTTTAAACTTTACACGTAAACTAAGGAGACAGTCATTCAACAATTAATGTATGTGTTAAGTATCTGTTTTATCCATCATTAGTTATATTTGAACTATTAACAAGATTAAATAAAACTGAATTGACATCATGTATTGAGGGTAAAGTTGAAAAAGTGGTCATTAATTTGCCTTGAAATGCTAAAATGATTTATATTTTAAAATTTTTTTCCAA